TTTCTGAAACAATACATTCTAAAACTTGAAACAGTTCTATCTAAAACAGTCATATATAGGCAAAATAATTACACATTTCTTAGGGCTTGATCCCAAAAGAATGTTCTCCCAGTGGCTGCTAGCCCATATGAAAGTGCAAAAAAGCCTTTGGGGCTCCACAGCTGCAAGTGATATTTGCATATTGGGAGATAGGTGAGGTTAGTTGTAAGCTTTTTGGCAACACCTTCTTTAATTAGGAAAAAAAAATTAATAGATGGTGATTTCACTCAGGTCTTCTCTGGAAATGGTTCCCAGAATAAAAATTCTGGTGAAAACAGAAGAGGAAAAATAATGCTAAAGCAGTGAAGCTAGGGCTGGGAAATCACATACCTATGCTTCGTTCCTATTAATCGTTAGATTAATTCCCTGACAACATTCATGGGTTACTGTGGAGGAAAGAAGAACTGAAACAGTGGGGATGAACAAAAGACAGAGAGATTGTTTCTCAGTTTCTCTGTCCAAAAGTGTGTCACCCCATATAAATAATGTAATATTCATCAGCATACAGGCTCAAACCTGAGTCTTCTGCATTCTTCATTCAGCCCTAACTGACATTATAGTCTGCAAAACATATATGAAAATAATCCCTGGACTGGTTAAAGTGAAGTCAATTCTATCAGCAAAATGAAAGCAAACAAAATAAAACAAAACAAAACAACCCAGCAGGTACCACTTGCTAGGAAACACAGGCTTAATAACCTCTGAACTCAACTTCTTGGATAAAAGCAAAAATCTCAACACACTTGTCTTCCCTCACCATTGAGGTTCATAACTATCTATGTCAGGATGGTTAGTTTTCCTTTGCACCTTCCAAAAAGTTATCTTTTGTATTCCCCAAATGCTGGACAAGAATACCTCTGAAATCTTGAAGGGACTTGTACTAGAGGAGACTATTATCCTCCCATCTCCTTTCAGACGACAAAAGATGAAGAACATGAAGCATCTTTAGGAACTAGTATCCACTCTCAGGTTTCCAGTTCTCTTGATTCCTCAAATTGTATTCCACAGTCTATCCTATCTTATTGTCACATCTAGTAACACTTGACTCTATCAATATTGCTATTTCTTATTCCTATTTTAACATCTTAAAAAGGCTGTGTTCAACAATTTGAGCAACATAGCAACAACTGGACACAGCAGTGTTTACAGTGGTGTACAAATAAATCAAGTCTTCCAAGCAGCAACCTCAGACCAATGGCAGGCAGCAAGTGACCTTGTTAGTGTCGAATGGGCAGTAAGCAGGCAGTAAGTGAGGGAAAGAAAAATAAAGCAGAACAAAACCCAGAAAATCCTCTACTACAAGATCTGACTAGTAAGGATTGTATCGCTAGAGACCAAATTGTCATGGCCAGTGTTAATATCATTACCTTACTCGTAGTTCTAGATGTTTTCCCTGTTTTTACTCACCCTCACCATTACCTTATGCCCAACAGATGAACTAACTGAAAGATCATTCCCTCTGTCTTCAGTACATATCCTCCCACATCTTTGTGGGTATTTTGAGACACATTAAGGAAGGCTCATTTTTTAGATTTTCTTAGGCTATATAAAAGATCAATGGGACTAGCACGAAGCAAATAATACAGCATTACACTGAAACTGCCACAATAGGTCTCCTTCAACAGTCTGCCTTCAGCAGTAGCCCTGAGCAGATGCCCAGTAGAATAGTAACAAACAGGGCAGGCCTAAATTATTTAGGGTTTATTTTTGACTCATAGTGTAAAAGGCTCTAAGTATTTTCAGTTTTAAAATTTATTAATCTAGGTGTATCTGTATCTGTTTAGTCATCCTCAATGGATCCAATGGATCCATAGACAAGTCCAATCTCTCTTTGAAACCATGTGAAATTTTAATAGTTAGTGTTTTGCTAGCACAACATAACCTTTTCGATTGCAGGAACTTAATGACTGATGTGGACAACAGCAGTGTTCAAACTCTTCTGCTCTCTCAGTTCAGTTCTGTATTTGTCTGGAATCTACTTAACAATCTCTGTGGAGATGTGACCTTTACAACCCACCTCTCAGAAAAGCAAGTTTCATTCTTTGGAAATATGCAAGATGAAGGTTATTGAAAAATAAAACTTAGAGGAGAATATCCCTGGATCTTGCTACAAAAGCTACATACCACTTTCACCACAAGCTACATCATCTTGACACTGTATTATGTTATCAAATTATACAGTGTATTTTTAGGAAGATATTGTAAAGAATTCCAGCAAGGGCTTTTAACGTTCTTTTGTTTGGCAAGTGACATTACTCTCCCTCCGTGGTTAAGACAGCAAATTACTAGACACCCTAAAGAATGCAACAGTCTAGCCAAACCTAGAAAAACCCACTTTTAACACCAGCAACCTCGCCAACTACCAGTCAGTTTCCAACCTCCTCTTCCTTGACAATGACCTTGTGAAGGTAGTGGCATCCAAAAGCTAACAGCACCTATTCCTTGCCAGTGCCCTGGCTCCTTGACATACAGGCATCAGACCAAAACATGATAGAAGAACAAACCCTCCCGACACTGCCAGTACGCGTGCTCCTGGGCTGGGACCAAAAACAAACCTCAGAGTGGATATCCTCTGGGGCTCTGATGGAAGTGACTGCCTGGTTCTAATAATAAGACTCATGTGAAGTTTAAACAAAAATAACAGGACAGCAGTCCTTTTCCCAGACAAGCTGAATGGAGTGCAACTGCCTCTCATACCTACTACAGAAGACCTGTATTCTGCTGTCCCACAAACCTCAATGCTTTCTCCCTGCCAGTTTAACCGGAAGACAGTATCACACAGGGCAGCTGAATGATGCTAGAAGTTAAAGTATCCTCAAATAGGTGACACTCAATTCTGCCTCTGTCTCCACTTAAATGAAGGATTTCAAGAGGAGCAAGGCACAGCTTCCATTTTCTGTCCCCACTTGGCAGCAGATAAAGGAATAACACTGCCAGCAGCAACTTCAAAGCATGAGAAAGTGTTATGCTCAAATTTCAAGCAGAAAGTTTCATGATGAAACCAGCAACAGATTTCTCTGCCCTCTATCTTCCTCTACCTTCTGGGACACTGGAGTTCGTCAAACACAAGTGTATCTGGTCTTATCCAACAAGGCTGACAAAACAAAGCCTACATCACTCCCCTGCTGCCCTACCCTGGGCTCTGCTGCTGGCAGCAAGTTTAGTTCCTGCTGGAGTAGCCTGGGGTTGAGACTGATGGTCAGTGAGACTGGACTCACTAGACGATGTGATCCTCACTAGTGAAATATGTACTTCCACCTTCCTACTTCAAATGCTAAATGGCACTTAAAAAATAGAATTTTTAAACGTGTGAAAAGTGAGTTTCCAGATCTTGTCTTCAGCTTCCCAAACCCAAAGGCTACAAAGAATCCTTCAAAATGACGAGGGGTAATGTGTTTGGCTTTTTTTGCACTCACAGGCAGAGATATTCTGAAACAAAAATAGATGCTCTACAGCCAAATGCTCGAAGCTTAACAAAACTGTGGTCATCTGTGAGGAAACTTTTCAGGCTTGTTTTAGGTGTAAAATTGCTGGTTGAGTTTTAAACCACTATCCTACATAATTTCTGTCATGCATTTAGTACAGAAAAAAAAGCCTATACATAACATCCCACACAGTTTGGAGAGAAACACCCAGAAGTTATTTCAAGTCTGATTCATCTCCTGAAAACAAACAAACAAACAAACAAACAAAAAACAACAACAAAAACCACAAAAGGAACCAAAAAAAAGCAAAACAAAACAAAAACTAAAAAATTACTTGAAAAAGAGCTTGCCACATTATTTGACTTGTTCTGCCATCATATCTCTAAAACATATTTGCAATCTTCCAGTATATGTTTCTGTTTTTCATATTACAAGAATGGGGATTTTTGTATAATAATATATGATGGTTCTCCCACTTTTGGATATTCACATGCAACACACATGACATATACCACCACATGTAGTGAATATTTTGCTCATACGGATAGTACAAAAATTGTATAGCCACAACACAAACTCTTTTCCCTAATGTTTGGACAGATTCAGAAAATATTCATGTATATGTAACAGCCCAGCATTACACAGTTACTTCCTGGTTAGAGTGTGGTTCCTTTTGAAATTAGAAAAAGGGAAAACTGAGTTAGTTGCAGTTTATTTCAGATAGACACTTCTTCTGAGAGCAGAAATGAGAAGATACAGCATGACAATGGTGGCAGGAGGGCACTCCTTGCTCATTAAGATGTGGTAGCATGTCTGTCACACTTGGTTTTTTACCCCAATAAAATTTATAAAACAACAAAGATCTACTAGCACAGCTCAATGGGTTAGAAAGATAACTCCATGAAAATACAAAGAACCTTGGTCTAAACTGTGTGTAACAGCAAAGCCTGGGTTTGACTTTCTCTTGAACTTTTATTTTCAGAGAATCCTTGAAAGGACTGTTTACACTTACATCTCTCTCCATAAAATTCCAAATGTCACTAGTATGACCCATTAACAGTGTGTTCAAAAACTGCTCTGAGATGATATGAAAAAAATAGAAAAAATGAACACATTTGCATTTTATAATGCAACTACAAAATGGAAGCAAAGAAGCCGGTAGCTCAGGTCACAGACTTTAGTGGTAGGTCAATTGTATTTTGTCGGAGTTAAAAAAATAATTGTAGTATTTGAAGACTTTTATAAAAGCAAAGTTATTTGGGATCTTGTCTTCTTCATCCTCTGCCCATTTCCAATTACAAAATTCTAAAAACCATAAACTGAAAGGAAAATTCCTTAGATTAAATGAATGTTGATGAAACTACAATTGAGGCATTGCCAGTTTAAAAGAACTAAAATAATCACAGCCTGTCCTGATTATATGTACTTACCAGTGCAAAATAGGTTGCTGAGCAATTACGCTCTTTTTAACTATTAACAGTAGTATCTTTGTTCTCAAACAATGTTAGATGCACATGTTCTGAAACTTATATTTACCTGGTGGATTCTTGGCAGGATCACTGTGGCTTGGACTTCCTGGTTGTCCAGAATCTATAAAGAAATGAAAGAAATCTTTCACTAATTTGTTTTGAAAGCATCTCACAACCTTTTAATACTCTCTTTCAGCATTAAACTAATACATCACTTTGTTCTTTAAAGGTCATTTCCCTGACTTCCTACACGAAGGTACTACTGAACAAACACACTATATATAACCCATTTCATGTAGAAGCAGAAACATTGCGAAAGATTCAATGATCCTAATAAGAGGAACTCATAGATCACTGAATCACTGACAAGAGAGTCATTCAGGTAAATACTCAAGTTGTAAACACATCTACAAGGGTACCTTTTCATTCCCTTTCCCTCCATCTCCCACATATAATATTGCATAATCAGGAAAGCAGAGGTAGTTTCTTCTCAGGCAGTGACCAGAAGGTTATACTGGATCAGGCAACTAATAGCATTTGCAGTGTTAAGTCCTGTTTCTTTACCCGTTCCTTAAAGCAAAAAGGCCTACGCTGCTTCCACAGACTCAGGACTGCACTGAAGATACAACTGTTCATTTTAATACAATATAGGCTTCATTTTCCCAGTCTGTGAGAATCACTGTTGTGAAATGAAGATTATGTAACATAAAAACTAACAAAACCAAAACCCTCTAGACTTCAGAGAGTGTTCTTTTCATGATACAGGCACTTAATTAATCAAGAGGAGAATGCAATTTGGTGTTAACACAGTAAATAATAAATTATATCCTTACTCATAAAAGCCATTGCCTTTAAAACTATCTATTTTTTGATATATTCCCACACTAATAATATAACAAAACCCTGCTCCACTGCAAGAAATTGTTATTAAGAAAGCAAGACACGACAGACACTCTTGTATGCAAAGAGAGTAAGAAATTCAAGGAAGCACAACCATTTGTTCTGTATACAGGTATCTAAAATGGATCAGTTTTATAGTCTCAATAGAAAATAGCCATTTTTTTAAAATGCAGAAGTGCTTGTTACTAGCATAAGACCACCAAAAGACTGCATCATAGCACTACAGACATTGCTATTGCCAAAAGGACCCCAGAGGGAAGTCAGAGCTCTTGAATGCTTTGCTTGCTGTTACAGTGTCCAAATTAAAGAAAAGAAAGATAAGAAAGGAGAAAATTATATATCTGCAAAGACTTATCCCCATCTCTTCTTCTTAAAGCCAATGTAGCCCTCAACTTAGAATGAAAGATTCCCTCCACCTGCTACAAGAATTTCATTGAAATTTGCTACCATCTGTTATGTAGCTTAGCAAACATGGTTTGACACACATATCTCTCAAGCAGTTAAGTCTCAAGTTAATTTACGCATGCTTGCTTCTACAGAAGATATTATCTAAGCTGGAAATCCGTTTCACACTTCAAGTTCTACAGGATTTATCTGAATGATGGTTGTCATAGAAGACAAGCATATACCAGAGAGCAGAGTACTGGAAGATCCAGCTCCAATGGTATTAAAAACTCAATTAAATTTTCCAATAAATTAATTAATAAATTAAATCACCCTTGTGCACAGTAAGGTACATGTTGGAGAGCAAATTTCACAGAAAACGTACTCTGTCTTCTTAAAACCTGGGTAGGAAGCCCTGGGGCGGGACTCTCAGTCAGATTCTGCACATCCCATGGTTTGGGCACTTGGGTACTCCTAAGAGTCCCACTCTACAGGACAATGTGTATGCCTCTTTCTTTTCATTCTAAGATACAGCACATCCCTTTAAAAAATTGAATCAAGTTAATTTGAAAACTCAATCATCTACAAGAAATGCTAAAAATAGTGTTTCTCTGCAAATGGACTTTTATATGGACGATGGTCCTTTTTCCCAGGTTGCAATGGGAAGGTGCACCCTGTGGGGGGTGAACTTTAGTGTTCTTCTAATAGACATTCTCTTCTTCTGCAAAATATATGTATTATTATTTAAATTAAGATTATCAGAGAGGATTAATTTTACACAGCGATGGTTAAAGTGTAAAACCACTGCAGATGTGTGGCTAAATGAAGTGTCAATTTGGTAGCAGATGCGCCCAATAAAGCTTGGACAGTACAGCTTGGGGAACACAGAGGTTTGAACCTGGATTAATGAGACCAACTAGAAGCGAGCCTTTGAAGTCTTCTCTTGTTAAAATTCACTAAAAAGATGTACAAGTGAAGAATATGTTTTAAATCTTGCACAACAATGTGCCTTTACCCCTACTTTCTCATTGTCAACGTGGCTACTTTCTGGATCCAGGATTTAAAGATTGATGCTAGTTTAAACAATTATTTTTCATATTATAATAAGATAAACTTAGCAAAGAGTTTTCCAGTTATCCAGATAAGCAGTTGGTCAGTTATTATAATTAGCCAGTCAGACATAGCTTTGTTTTATGTTAACTACTTTTCAATCACAATTTTTACAGTCTGATTTTCTCAGTGTTTTGAGCAATAGATCACACACACACACAATCGCTCGGTTGGAAAAGACCTCCGAGATCATCATGTCCAACCATTCCTGTCTACCCACTAAACCATATCCTTAAGTACCTCATCTACC